GCAATATTCATCACTCATGCTTCACACCCATATAAGAGTGTTGGTAAAACTATACTCTCATACATTCCCCTCTTTGCCTCCAAAGACAAAGTTCTTTGTCTCCACAGACTCCAATGTTTCTACTATGGCTGGGAATCAAACCCAGGCCCTCGCCGTGTGAAGCGACAGCGTTAGCAACCAGATCTTTAAGCAAACATTACGATGACCTCACAGCATTACTTAATTCCTTGCATGCCAGTATGTCCATCATTACTCTCACCGAAACCTGGCTAAAGCCTGATACTACAGATGTCTATGCCATTCCTGGTTACACAGCCATACACAACTGTAGGCCAGACCAACAAGGGGGTGGCACAGCTATATACTACTCAGACCAACTAGAATGTATCAATAATACCTGCACAAAAGATGAACATGGGGAATATATAATAGCTAAATTCAAATCCAAATACTACCTACAAAAACCTCTCACAGTGATAAACATCCACAGAATACCAGTCAAATATCAGCCATTTTACTGAAAACCTAGGAAGTATGATAACTGATGCACACATGAACAAAAACCACTTACTACTCACAGGAGACTTCAGTATAAATCTTCTGCAAGACCAGGACCCACATGTAGCTGAATTCACGAACACTATGAGTAACTGCATATTGCTACCAACAGTAACAAAACCTACAAGAATCACAGAGAATAGTGTTTCCCTATTAGACCACATCTGGACCAACGCCATATCTCCTTTAAAATCAGGCATAATCACAGATAATACCACAGACCACTACCCTACCTTTCTCATAACCAATCTAGGTAAATTACCCCAAGACTCTACTAAAGTAACCTTCAGACTTCATAATGAGGCAGCCATTAACCCTTTGACTGTTGCAACCCCCAATCCTGAGGTGTCTCCTGGTGTCGCAAAATTTAAAAAAAAAAAAAAAATTATTTTTTCTTATGAAATGATAGAGAATCTTTTCTCGATTGTAATGACACCAAAAAAAAAACGAAATTTGATGGAAAACTGACGGAATTATGCTCTCGCGAAGTTAGCGACCTCGGTGATGTTTACAAATCAGCGATTTCGCCCACTTTGAGCCCTATTTTTGGCTAATTCCCTTGTTCCAGTCGCCCAAACTCATAGCTATTTCGTTAGAACTCCATTTTTTTCTATCGATTGAGTACAAGAAACTGCCCATTTACCGATTTCAACTACCTAATAATGTGGTCAGAAATTTGCAATTTGGCCAATTTCACGAAAACTAAAAAATATGACAATTTCAAAATAAGGTCCAGAATGAACAATGCAGACATTCCTGGCTCTAAAATAACATTCTTTGTTCATCAGTCACGTTTCCAGGCCCCTCTGATATTACTCTTGCTTTCTATTTTGAATTTTTATTCAAACAAAAAATAGAAGACTTACTATTATGCAGACTACTGCAATACTGTAATAATTGTATAAATAACATCAACCCATTCATGACTGCATATTAGAATGGCTAGTTGGACATTTATTGGACAATGGCATCATTTGTTTACTTTTGAACATTGGCAAAAATCAAACATTTCCCCTAATTTGAGCTCCATTTCTAGGTTCGTTTTATAGTAAAATCAATTAATATCACCTCTATTTCTATAACATGTTATCCATTCTATCAAATGAGACCAAGAAAACGAGAATACAACCATAAATACTATACGAAAATAGACCACAAATTCGGCATTTTAATTAAAAAAAACGGTCGGAGTTTTTTTTTTCTCATTATGCACTGTGTGCTCCAGGATTTTTTTTATATGGTGCACACTGACCACACAGACCAATTCTCTCACATGTGGGCCTACCAGCTTTCTCCTGCTTGATTTGAAGCCGCTAGAATTTATGAGTATATATACGTCAAACACGGTACATCATAAGACGTATATATACGGCCGCGACAGTCAAAGGGTTAATAACTTCACAACAGCAATGACAAACATCAACTGGCAAAATGAGCTAGAAATCTATACAGATACTGACCAATGTGCAGGTCTCCCTCAACATTCACGTTTTCAACTTTCACAGGCTTCACACATTCGCGAATTCCCAACCGCCAAATTCCCAGCCACCAAATTCCCAGCTGCCAAATCATATTTAAGTTTCCCGCCACCTGCGAGTCCCTACTACCCTCCCTCCGACCCCTGCAACTGGCAGCCAGCCCTCCCACCACTCAGTGTGGCGAGTGTTTTGTTTGTTCATTATTTGCTATTAAACTACAGTATAAATAATGTAAACCCATTCATGCTGCATATTGGAATGGCTATTAGGAAAGGTATTAGACGGTGACATTCACGGTTTTTCAACATTCGCGAGGCTCTTGATCCCCTAACCATCGCGAATGTTGAGGGAGACTTGTATTAATAATTTTCTAAAAAAGACCCAATACCTCTATAACAAGCACTACCCTAAAAAAACTAAACAGATCACAGCTAAGAGACTGAACAGTAACACCCAGCATCCTCAAATTCATAAATATGAAGCACCAATATGAAAAACAGTACAGAATGGGTCACATAACCAGAGACCAAACAAAACATTACTCATCAATCCTAACCAGCCTGATAAGAAGGGAAAAAAAATTGTATTATGAGAACAGATTATCCAACTTAAAAGGTGATATAAAAAAGACCTGGAAAACCCTATCTGAAATTCTACAAACAAAAAAAATATCAGGAAACAGAATAATCAAACTGACAAAACCAGATGAACCCCAACTCCCACCAACTGAAACAGCAAACAGACTCGATGTTTTCTTCTCCATCATAGGAAAAAGCCTTGTGGGTAAAATCCCAAGCTCAAATACCCCACCTAATGACTACCTCACTGGCACCTACCCAAACACACTATTCCTAGCTCAGACTAACCCAACAGAAGTCTCCCTTATTATCAACACACTAAAGAACAAGGCAGGAGATCTAAATACCTTACCACCCTTTATATACAAAAAAGCTTCACAAGTACTGTCAGCAATCATTGCAACACTCTTTAACAAATCCATTGAATCTTTTACCTTCCCCACAGTTCTCAAAATAGTGAGGGTCACCTAAATACATAAAGGAGGAGATCAAGCAAACTTGAATAACTATAGGCTAATATCCAACTTGCCCATTCTCTCTAAAATCTTTGAAAAATTAATTCATAAGCGAATCTATTCCTACCTCATCTCTCACAACATACTCAACCCCTGTCAGTTTGGATTCAGGCCTAACCATATCAGACCACTAATTACCCAACAAAAGGCTGCAGTTAGAATGATAACAAATTCTCACTATAGGCAGCACACTCCACCAATATTCAATACACTAAACCTATTCACCATACAAAACATTCATACTTATTACTGCACCTATTACATACATAGAACACTTAACTCTGATATTAACCCTCCCCTCAAACATCTCCTTGCCAACCTCAACAGAACACATGACCATAACACAAGGCACAGATCACTCTTTGATGTTCCTCGTGTCCATCTCACACTATGCAAAAACTCAATGCACATAAAAGGCCCTAAAATCTGGAACTCATTACCTGTAAATATAAAAGAAACACTACCTGTTTAAAAATTCAAGTCTCTTCTCAAAGATCACTTACTCACCCAAAACCAAATAAATACTGAATAACTGAACCTTATAAATTGTATATCTTAAATGTTTCTCACAATTATATCACATAAATGTTAAACCTAAAACACAATCTAACTTTATTATTTTTTAAATACACTACCTACCAGAATACTCCATTCTACTGAATGTACAACAATGCATACAACCATATGACCTGTCTTTGTAATACTCACTTGTGCTTTATAGTAATCTGTATACATTAAAGTTTTATCACTGATGTCATCATTGCTTAGTTCATCTTAAGTTAATTTTAAGCCAGCCCGTAATGCTATGCATAATATAAGTGGCTTTGGCATGCTGCTCTTATCTGTATTTTTTGTACCTCTGTATGTGTGCTCAAATTTTTAAATAAATAAATAAATAAATAATAAAAGTAAGAATGATGCTATTATACACATGCTAGAACAAATATACACTGCACTCAAGAAAAAAAGAAGTCCCATTGGGGATCTTCATTGATTTACGTAAAGCTTTTGATACAGTTGACCATGATTTCTTGCACATGAAGTTATCACTAATTGAGGGCACTCCCTCAACTACCTAAAGTCATACCTTAGCAATAGAAGCCAATATGTGTACACAAATGGAGCAAACTCTTCCACACAACCAATTACAGTTGGTGTCCCAAAGAGAAGTGTCCTTGGTCATCTTCTCTTTCTCATTTACATAAACAACCTACAAAATGCATCACAACTACTCAAACCCACACTATTTGCAGATGACACAAAATATGTCTTCTCTCACCTAAGCCCAGTCATACTAGCCAATACTGTAAATACCGAATTACAGAAAATATCTGCCTGGAGGATAATTAACAAACTTACTCTCAATATTGACAAAACCTACTACATTCAGTTTGGGAATAGAACTATAGATGTTCCTCTTAACATAATGATAAATGGATCACCTATCACAAAGCTCACAGAGGGAAAATTCTTAGGAATCCACCTTGATAATAGACTCAAATTTCAAACACATGTACAACAAATTTCCAAGAAAATCTCCAAGACCATAGGCATACTAACGAAGATACGGTACTATGTTCCACAATCAGCTCTCCTGGCCCTATATCACTCACTCATTTACCACTATCTTGCCTATGGAATCTGTGCATGGGGGCTCAACAACAATAAATCACCTCAGACCATTAATTACTCAACAAAAGGCTGCAGTCAGAATGATAACAAATTCCCACTCCAGGCAGCATACTCCACCAATATTCAAAACTCTAAACTTACTCACCGTACAAAACATCCATACTTATTTTTGTGCCTACTGCATACATAGAACACTAAACTCGAATATAAACCCTCCCCTCAAACTTCTGCTTACCAACCTCAACAGAACACATGACCATAACACAAGGTACAGATCACTCTTTGACGTTTCCCGTGTCCATCTCACGCTATGTAAAAACTCGATGCACATAAAAGGCCCAAAAATCTGGAGTTCATTACCTGTAAATAAGAAAGAAACACTGTTTACCAATTCAAGACTACTTAAAAACCACTTACTCACCCACAACTAAATAAATACTGAATAACTGTATCTCATAAATGTATAACCTGTGACCCTATCAAACTGGTTTTTTTTTAATTACATTACCCAATAGAATACTCCATTCTCTTGAATGCACAGTAACTCATCTAATGACCATATGACCTGTTTCTGCACTACAAATCATTGATTTTATTCAATCTGATCGGATTATATTATACATTGTTATGCTACAATTTTGTTACTATAATGCTTCTTATTTGAAATACTCATTTGTACTTCATGTTGCAATTTGTTTACTATAATTTTTACCAGAGTATATCATTGCTTAGTTAATCTAAAGTTACTTTGAAGCCTGCTCATAATGCTCTGCATACAAGGGGCTTTTGGCATGTACACCCAATCACTATATTTCTTTGTACAACTATGTATCATGTCCAAATAAAAATAAATAAATAAATAAAAGTGTTCCAGAGAGGTCTGTTTCTAGCATATGTTAGGAATTGTGTTGGGAGACAGGACAAGATAGTCCTTGAATATGACACTAATATCAGCTCTACGGCCTATTTATCTAGCACAATTCATCTAATATGACATAATAAACAATACAGTGGACCCCCAGTTATCGGCTGTAATCCATTCCTGAAGGTTGGCCAATAACCGAAATGGCCAATAACCGAATTAATATTTCCCATAAGAATTAACGATAATACAATTAATCCGTTCCAAACAAAAATATTCACAAAAAACTTTTTTTAACAATTATGTAAGTATTACATACCTTTATTGAAGGCTAATGCTGGCTTCTGGAAGATAGGGAGGGAGAAAATGGGAGGAGTTAGTGTTTGGAAGGGAAATCCTCCTTCATAAAGACTTTAGGTAGCAAAGCCTTCTCTTGGGTTACTTCCCTTCTCTGTCTTTTATTGCCACTAGGACCAGCTTGAGAGTCACTGGACCCCCGTCTCACAAAATAACCGTCCAGAGTACTCTGTTTCTGGCATCTCACTAAGATTTCCCTGAAGTGGGACAGGGTTTTGTCATTAAACATATTGCAGATATGGCTTGTTTCAGCTTTGTCAGGGTGGTGTTTCTCTAAAAAAGCTTGCACCCTAGTCCACATTGCACACACCTCTTTAATCTCTGAAGAAGGCACCTCCTTCACTCCCTCTTCCTCCTCCTCTGAAGCAAGTTCCTCAGCTGCAGTCTGTTGCTGTTCGAGATGAAACTCTTGCAGCTCTTCAGTGGTTAGCTCTTCCCTGTGATCCTCCACCAACTCTTCCACATCCTCGCCACTCACCTCCAACCCCAGGGACTTCCCCAGTGCCACAATAGAGTCCACAGGGTCAGCAGGGTAGGGTCAGCCTCAAACTCTTCAAAATTCCTCTCTTGGACACAGTCTGGCCATAGTTTTCTCCAAGCAGAGTTCAAAGTCCTGGAAGTTACTCCCTCCCAAGCCTTACCTATAAGGCTCATTCAATGAAGGATAGTGAAGTGATTCCTCCAGAACTATCTTAGGGTCAACTGAGCGTCCGAGGCCACTTCAAAGCACTTTTGAAACACTGCTTTTGTGTAGAGTTTTTTTTGAAGTTAGAAATAACCTGCTGGTCCATGGGCTGGAGGAGAGGAGTGGTGTTAGGAGGCAAGAACTTCACTGTGATGAAACTCAAGTCCCTAAACACTTGGCCTTCCAAGTCTGGAGGATGTGCAGGAGCATTGTCCAGTACCAGGAGGCCCTTGAGTGGCAATTTCTTTTCCAGGAGGTATTTTTTCATACTTGGGCCAAACACATCATTAACCCACTCTTTGAAAATTTGCCTTGTGACCCATGCCTTATGATTAGCTTTCCACATCACACACAATCTATTCTTCATGATATTGTTTTTCTTAAACACTGGGATTTTCTGAGTGATACACGAGTAAAGGCTTCACTTTGAAATCCCCACTAGCATTACCACACAACAAAAGAGTAAGCCTGTCTTTCATAGACTTGTGTCCTGGCAGTGCCTTTTCCTCCTGGGTAATGTAGGTCCTGTTTGGCATTTTCTTCCAAAACAGGCCTGTTTCGTCACAACTGAAAACTTGTTGGGGTTCGAATCCTTCAGCCTTTACATAGTCCTGGAATTCGTGAACATACTTTTCAGCTGCACATTTGTCAGAACTTGCAGCCTCACCATGCCTTACAACACTGTGTATGCCACTACGCTTCTTAAATCTATCAAACCATCCTTTGTTGGCCCTAAATTCACAAACTGCAGCACTTGTTCAAGGCATTTTCTTTGCTAGATCCTCATGCAACTGCTTTGCCTTCTCACAAATAGTAGACTCCACTACACTGTCTCCCACTAATTCTTTTTCCTTAATCCACAATAATAACAACTTTTCCATCTCTTCCATTATTGGTGGAATTTGTTTAGTTAGAAAAGTTACTCCTTTTGCAACATTAGTGCCTTTCATTTGTTCTTTCTTTGCCAGAATGGATGTAATTGTTGATTTATTCCTGCTGTACATCCTGGCAAGTTCCACCACCTTCATACCACTCTCAAACTTTTCTATCACTTCAGGCTTAAATTCCATGGTGTTTCTCACTTTCTTTGATACAGGAACTTTACCTGAAACTTTCTTTGGAGCCATCTTTATTTATTTCACAGTTGCACTGCAAGAAAAACCCCTTAAAACAATGGTAAACAAGCGAAATGTTTAGATGTATGAGCAAAAGCTTCCTCAGCCACCGAGAGACAAAGCCAAACTGAAGTGCAAGCTGCCCCAGCCGACAGATGGACACGTCCAAAACAGCCGATAACCGAGCGAACAGCCGATAACCGGACACCAAAAAACCCACCGATAACCGAGTTGGCCGATAGCCAAACCGGCTGATAACCGGGAGTCCACTGCATTAACCCTTTTACTGTTTCGGTCGTATATATACATCTTACGAGCCACCGTGTTTGACGTAGTATACAGGTCTCCCTCAACATTCACGTTTTCAACTTTCACGGGCTTCACACATTCGTGAATTCCCAACCGCCAAATTCCCAGCCACCAAATTCCCAGCCGCCAAATCATATTTAAGTTTCCCGCCACCTGCGAGTCCCTACTACCCTCCCTTCGACCCCCACAACTGGCAGCCACCCCTCCCACCACTCAGTGTGGTGAGTGTTTAGTTTGTTCATTATTTGATATTAAACTACAGTATAAATAATGTAAACCCATTCATGACTGCATATTGGAATGGCTATTAGGAAAGGTATTAGACGGTGACATCATGTGTTTACTCTTGAACACTGCAAAGAATTAAACATTTCTGCTAGAGCTAATAATAACAATAGTAATAATAATAATATTATAATAATAATAATAATAAATATGATATAATTGAAGAAGGAAATTGTACAAAAATACGAGGGAGTGGTTGACACATCGTCAGTGTGACTTTGTTTATGCTGGAGTGAACATTAGTCTCCCTGCTCTTCCAAACATTTCACAATAATTCATTGTGTTTGGTGCTTGTAGACTGAGTGTGACTGGAGTGGTAGAGGCAGTGATTGAGGCAGCTGTTGAGGCAGCGATTGAGGCAGCGGTTGAGGCAATGGTATTTAATAACATACATGTTAATAATAATACATGTTATTAATAATATGTACTATTATTATTTATAACATGTATGTTATTAAATACATACATGTTAATAATAATACATGTTATTAATAATATGTACTATTATTATTTATAACATATATGTTATTAAATACCACTGCCTCAACTGATGAATTATTGTGAAATGTTTGGAAGAGCAGGGAGACTTATGTTCACTCCAGCATAAACAAAGTCACACTGACGATGTGTCAACCACTCCCTCGTATTTTTGTACAATTTCCTTCTTCAATTATATCGTATTTATTATTATTATTATTATTATTATTATTATTATTATTATTATTATTACTATTGTTATTATTAGCAATAGCAGAAATGTTCGATTCTTTGCTGTGTTCAAGAGTAAACACATGATGTCACCGTCTAATACCTTTCCTAATAGCCATTCCAATATGCAGTCATGAATGGGTTTACATTATTTATTCTGTAGTTTAATAGCAAATAATGAACAAACAAAACACTCACCACACTGAGTGGTGGGAGGGCTGGCTGCCAGTTGCGGGGGTCGGAGGGAGGGTAGTAGGGACTCGCAGTGGTGGAGTCTGTGGTATTTAATAACATACATGTTATTAACATACCTGTTATTAAATAACATACGTTATTAAAGCATAACATGTATATATTTAGTACAAATTACGACGTTTTCATGTATTTTATGATTATTCATGGTTCAACAAGTTAAGGAAGCAGTATTGTAATATATTTCCCTACAATATATTGGGGCACCAAACATTCACGGTTTTCAACATTCGCGAGGCTCTTGATCCCCTAACCCTCGCGAATGTTGAGGGAGACCTGTATATACTAATAAATTCTAGCGGCTTCAAATCAAGCAGGAGAATGCTGGTAGGCCCACATGTGAGAGAATGGGTCGGGCTGACATTATTTATACAATTATTACAATATTGCAGTAGTCTGCATAACAGTAAATTTTCTATTTTTTGTTTGAATAAAAATTCAAAATAGAAAGCAAGAGTAATATCAGAGGGGCCTGAAGATGTGACTGATGAACAAAGAAAATGTTATTTTAGAGCCAGGAATTTCTGCATTGTTTATTATGGACCCTATTTTAAAATTGTCACATTTTTTAATTTTCGTGAAATTGGCCATATTGCAAATTTCTGACCACGTTATTGGGTAGTTGAAATCGGTAAACGGGCAATTTCTTGTACTCAATCGGTAGGAAAAATGAAGTTCTAAAGAAATAGCTATGAGTTTGGTCAACTGGAGCAATGAAATTAGCCGAAAATAGGGCTTAAGGTGGGCGAAATCGCCGATTCGTAAATATCGCCGAGGTCGCTAATTT